CGGCCAGCGGGCCCCACGGGGGACGCGCGGGCGGGGCGGGGCCCGGCAACTGCGCACGCTGGACAAAGGCGCGCGCCCCAGCGGGGGGTCGGAGCCAGAGTCGAATATGAGATAGGCCGACATTCGAAAGAAAAAAAAAAACAGTGTCGGAACCTGCAAGACGCAGATCAGCAAGATCGCGAGCTGGAGTCGGAAAGACGGGGGCCGGGATCGGAGCCGGGGCAAAGGAGGGCGGGGCGGGAGCTGGAATCGGGGGAACGGGGGCCGGAGTCGAAGCCGGCGGAATCGGAAAGATGGGGGCTGCAGTCGGACCTGGAGTCGGAGAGGTGGGGCGGGCGCTGGAGTCGGAAAGTTGGGAACTGGGGTCGAGGCTGGAGACGGGGAGGCGGGGGCCGAGATTCGAAGCGGAGTCGCAGGGGGGGGCGGGGGCTGGAACCGCGAAGTCGGGGGCCGGAGCCGGGGCCAAAATCGGAGAGGCGGGGCCCCGAGTCGGGGCCGGAGCCGGAGAGATAGGATTGGACGGAAGTTGGAAACGAAGACAGCGTCGGAGATAGGGGCCCCCGGGTTCAAACCAGACGCCGCCAGTAGAGAACCTGCGGTCGGTGGAAGAAGAGGCGCTCTTTTATGCGGTTGGGATAGCCGCCCACCAAGCCGCTCCACAATTGTGCATGCGATGCTATGTCTACCCATTGGATATCGCACTGGTATTCCGTAACATTCATGAGAAACGGCAAACTCTCATCGCTCCAAGTCCTCCGCCGACCGCCGCGTCGTCGCCCTGCTCGTCGCGCGCCGCGCGCGCTCGAGCCTCGCGCCACGAGGCGCCTCGCGCATCTGCCGGCGCTGCGGCCTGCAACCCAAGCTGCATCATTCCACTTCCGTCTGAAATGCACGCGCGCCCGTTCTTGCAAGCGCGTGCGCTCCGCAATAGTTATAGCGGCGCAGGTGCTCCTGGGCGCGAAGTCCACCCGGGGCCCCAGGCCATCGTCGTTTGCGTCGTCGCCCCTGCCGCGCGGACCAGGGTCGCGCTGGTTGTCGGCGCTGGCGGCTGCGATGTCGGCGCGGGGCGCTGCGTCGCCGTTGCCCCGCCGGGGTCGTCTTCTCGGCGCGCCCGCGATCAGGTGAATGGCCGCCCCGCGCTTTCTCCGCAGCGCGAAGAGCATGTCCTTGGCGAGAGCCCGCGAACAGCGCCCGTGCACAACGCAAGGCGCGATTGCACCGTTGAGAAATCGTAGTCCGATGCGAAGTGGAAACCGTTTGTTCGTGCGTTCGTTCCGCAACTGGTTGAACGCAGCCCACCCTGCGGCGTCCCTGTCTGGTAGTTCGTGCTCGCGGAAAGTGTGAAGCGACTGTTTTCTGCCTCGGTATTTTGCGCCCTGGCCCTCGCGCAAGATATCGACGCGCGCGTCGCCCAACGTGACGCGCGCCATTGTTCTCCCCGTCCCCCGGCTGACGCTTGCAAAAAAAATATTGGCACTGTCGGGGTGGAATGACAATCAGCGGCGCGATGCTAGGCTTGCGAGGTCTCGCAAAAGAGAAGTCAGATGTCGCAAGTTCGCGGCGCGCAGCAAGACGTCGTCCGCGAAGCGTAGGTTGGTGATGCAAGTCTCTTGTGCCAGGCCAGATTGGATGCCAAATCTCACTCGGTGCGAGCATGCTTTGAATTGTCGGAACATGTGTTCAAGCAGCGCGTTGAACGAGAATGAGCTAAGCAAATCTCCCTGCTTCACCCCCCGCTGTATGTCAAAATAACCGGTTGTTCGTGTCTGTTCTGACCGTGGCAGAAAACGACATATGCATCAGGGAGGTGCTGTTGTCGCAAAGCTTCCCAACGATTGATTTGGTCCACGCAGTCGAACGCCTAAAGTGGTAGCTAGCCAGCGATATGCCTGCTCGTAAAATATTGACGCGGTGAAAGGGTGGTCTTCGGTGCCGTAGCCACGTCTAAGGCCAGGTTGGCCGCCGGGCCTTTCTTGAACGTCGAATGCAAATTCAAGCCCGTTTCACATGAGGCGAGACATAAGCTTATATAGCAACGGGATGATTGAAAGTGGTCTATTTTGTGGTAGCTTGGGGCCACCAGACTTGCATACACCTGTGGTCCTCGTGCTGTTCCACTGGTCGGGTGGCGCGCGAATTGGAGCGATGATGTCATTGTAGAGATGCGGCAAGTAATCCTCAATGGTGGCGCCCCGTGCTTTGAGCAACTCAGCTGTGAGGCCATCGGTACCGCTGCGATTGTCATTGATGACTCTCCGTGGTTCTTCCATCATACATGGTGGAATATTGGATTCGATTGACGTTGTGGCGGTGCTCTTCTCCTCGCTGTCATTATCGTTTCCAGTGGTCGCTCGTAGAACGTCGCGAAGACGTCGGCGATGCGTGTCCCGTCCGCCTCCTCGTCGCCTGTCGGGGCAGTCATTGATGCAAGATGTCTTTCTTTTAGAAGACTTCGCACCGGCGATGTTCGTGAGGCCTTTCAATTGGCACATGACGGCATAATGCTGCATTGTCGCGGACCCGTTTGATGGCTCGAAGTTGTCTCAGAATAAACCTGCTCAGCTTAACTTTGGTTGTGTCACTGCGTGGTGTTACGTCGTTGGACGATGATATCAAGTAGTTTCTGGTTTGCTGCGAAGTCCTCTCCATGTGCTGGGCGTTGTGCAGTCACGGCCCTACGTTCGCGATATTTTTCGTGCGTTTGGACAAGGGCGTCGCTGATGTGTGCGCGTCTGTCATTTGCACCAATTGCACAGACGTGATCGCCGAGTCAGTGCTGGAAGCACTGCTGGGAAAGTTGGCTGGCGGCGGGCGGGAAAGAAGATCGATGGGGTGCTCGTCGCTTGCGTTTGCTCCTCTTGTGGGTCGTTGTGCCGGGGAAAACAATGTTCATGCAAAGTGCTTCATGGTCGGAGCCCAGGTCCAGCGTAATAGTGGCAAGTGCATCGAGTACTTTGTTGCGGCAGTTCTTGCCTATGTGTATGTAGTCAATTTGCGACTGGGATGGATGCTCTCCGCTGCTGGGTTAGGCAAACATGTTGTAGTGGCGCTCGTAAAAAACTGTGTTCGTGATAAGCATGTTGCGTGTGTTGGCCAATGCTCGTAGGAACGCCCCGCGCGTGTTGCAGTCTCCCATTCCATGTGCTCCCACGGTTGGTCTTCGGCTTGTGCTGTGATTTGCATCGTCGTCCGCGTTGTTGGGGTGCTTTCCGACTTGAGCATTGAAATCTCCAATGATATTGTGCTTCGATTCTGATGGACGGCGTCGTCGTGAACCACCTGGACGACGGAAAGGAGAATTGAGAGCAGGAGAAAGATAATCCGAACGCCACCTGTTCAATTAGATGGTGACCACCTCTGGCGGAGCCACCACTGGAGGTAATACATCAATTTCATGCGCCTCGCCCTCGCTAAACGATCCTCCGTGTCTTCCTCATCCTGCTCCCCATCCTCGTCCTCCTCCGTCGCGTAACAATGACAACCAGCATCATCACCACCGGCATAATCATCATCAGCATCAGCATCAGTGTCAGCATTACCATCAAAAACACCATCACCAGCACCATCGTCATCATAATCATCGTCATCCTCGTCCTCATCACCATCAACATCATCATCAGCATTAGCACAATCATCAACATCGTAATCATCATCGTCATCATCAGAATCGTTGTCGTCATCCGCGGCATCATGATCAACATCATCATCATCATTGTCATCAAACCCATCATCATCATCATCATCATCATCATCATCATCATCATCATCATCATCAGCGTCATCATCATAATCAGAATCAGCATCATCATCATCATCATTATCATCAGCATCATCATCATCATCATCTCATCATCGTCATTTTTATCAGTCATCATCCTCAGCAGCAGCAGCAGCATCCTCCTCCTCATGATCATCATCGTCGTCGTAACATCACCATCAGCATCATCGTCACCATCGTCGTCGGAATCATTACCATCGTCGTCATCACATCATCGCCGTCGATGTTGCCGAAATCAACAGCATCGTCGACGCAGTCATCGTCGTGAACGTAAACAACGACATCATCATCAGCACCGTCGTCGTCGTAATCGTCGTCATCATCCTGTCCCTCCTCCTCCTCCGCATCATCATGGTCGTCGCCGTCAGCGTCGTCATCGTCCTCCACCTCCTCCTCGGCAACACCATCATAATCACTTGCAGCGTCATTATCATCATCATCATGATCAGCATGAACACCAACATCACCACCACCACCACCACCATCATCATCATCATCATCATCTTCATCATCAGCATCATCATCAGCATCAGCATCAGCATCAGCATCACCACCACCACCATCATCAGCATTACCACCACCACCACCACCACCACCATCATCATCATCATCATCATCATCATCACCACCGACACCATCACCATCACCATCATCATCATCATCATCATCATCGGCAGCATCGTCGTCGTCATAGTCATCATCCTTATCATTATCATCATCATAAGCATCATCAGCATCATCAGCATCATCATCGTAATCAGCATCGTCATCATCAGCATCAACATCGTCATCCTCATCATCAGCAGCGTCGTCATCACCACCACCACCATCATCATCATCATCATCTTCTTCATCAGCATCATCATCAGCATCAGCATCAGCATCAGCATCACCACCACCACCATCATCAGCATTACCACCACCACCACCACCACCACCATCATCATCATCATCATCATCATCATCATCATCATCATCATCATCATCATCATCATCATCATCATCATCATCATCATCATCATCGCCATCATCAGCATCATCATCATCATCATCATCGTCATCCTCCTCCTCATCATCCTCACTCCAACCATCATCGCCGTCCGACGCCCGACCAAAAAGCGCCCTGCCTCGCAGCCCTAGCGGCTCCAGGAGGGAGCCCCTGGGCACGCAGCGGGGGCAGGAGAGCGCAGGGAGGGGGAGCGCGGCCGCGGCCGCTCTGGGCTCCTGCCGAGGTCGAGGACGACGCGGTGGACCTCCGACCGCTCGTCCTCGGCGCAAGCGCGAGGAGGAGGGGGACACGGCCGAAGCCTCGTTCAGCGAGGGCGCGGGCCAAGAGAGCACGAGCCCCCAGCCGACGGGGGCCCACGGGCCCCCCCCCTGGGGGTGCCCGAGGCGAGGAGAGCATCCCGAGGTGGAGAGCCGCGACACGATGAACGCAAGGGTGCCCCGTCCAAAGGTCAGGGTGCTCTTGACCCTCGTGCCAACTGCATCGGCACTCCGTCTCAGCTGCTGCCGTGCCATGGCCGTCCACGGCGCCCGCAAAGGGAAGACCGACCAGGCCGACAGCGAGACCGAAAGTTACCGGAGCCAACAGGCCGCAGACAGCCTGCAATGGCGCAGCGACTCGTCGACGACACGACAGCCGACCGAACCGAAACGACCAAACGCCACCGATTGCGACGCAGCCGAACCGACTGAACCGCGGACACCCTTGTACGGCAGGCTGGGCTCGTGACGCATTGTGCGTGATTCGGACACCTTGAACGATTATGGTTTATTGGCATAGCGGAGTGTGCGATGCCAGCTGGTTGCAGACAACTGGAAGCGTCAACCTGGAACGACGAGGCTCCGCGTCGACATGGCGGCGCGAACCTGCAGTTCAGCGCGGATGGGGCAGATGGCATACGCTGTAATGACGGACGCCCGAATTGATGCCAAAATTGGAGCCCCATACGGACCATGGCTAAGGATACAAGGGCACCCGCGGAAAGCTACTCAACATCATGATGCGATATGACGGCACCCCACCTTCGGAGTGGCACAACTCATGCGATTGGTGTCGGGCCTCTAGAGGGCGCCTCTGAGACCTCCATTGGCATCGAAGCATGGCCTTGTGGAGGTCCTCGGCAAGGTGCTCTGGTCAAGTGCCCTGTGACACCGGCTATTTGGCACCCCGCACAACGTGTGACGGTGCACATACACATGAACACACACACACACACACACCTATATATATATGTACAATCGGAACTAGGCCAGAAGAACATCCCTCAAGAACACGAGACCCTCCGTCGGCCAAAACGCACAGAACATCCACGGGTACCCTCCTCAGGGTGCACAAGAACATCCAACCAACACGAAGAACATTAGGGTACCCTCCTCGAACCGACCTCGATCTTATACCTCCGTCCGACTATATACATGAGTGTGTATGTATGTATGTATGAATGAATGAATGAATGAATAAATGTGTGCGTGTGTCGGCCTGCGCGGGCTCAAACGAATGTGTTGTTCGCCATATATATATATATACATATATATGTATACATATGTATATATATATAGTGTACAAGCTACGTGGATCAATACCACCCGCCCGCCGGCAACTTGGTTTGCAAAACCGATGCGGCGGCGATTGCGATGAGTGTTCGGCGTTGGCTGGTGCATCCCTGCGGCCGTGCTAGACCGCGCATGCTCGCGCGTTGGCCAGATAGTTTGGCGTTACAGACGCGGCCGCGGTGGCGCTAACCACACTTCTCAGCGGGCACTTCAATACGAATCCGCGACTTGGGCGGGCGCGGTATCATGGCAACGCCGACGTTGGTTAACGCGATGATGATGGTAGCGATACTGGTGACGACGATGACAACGACGACGGCAAGGACAATGACGGCGCCGATGCTGATCACGCCGACGACGATGACGGCGCCCTCGCGTCTGTGATGAAAGTTTTGGCAGGAGTTCGACAGCCGCGCGCGGCCGACGCGCGAAAGTGGCACGCATGGTACCCTGAAACGAAAATCGCGCCCCCCCCAGCCCGCGCGCAAGGGCGTTCGAATGATTTCGTCGTGCGGCACGGGGGGCCCGTGCGGTCGAATGTGATGAAAATGTTGAAAACCATGTGCTTTGTTTCCCAAAACTTCGCAGGAGCGCGAACGCAAGCATGTTTGAAAACTTATGTTGCACAACCATGTGTTTGTTATATGTTTTCGTTACACTCGATTTTGAAGCCCTTGCGAGACGAAGGTTTTTGCATTTTTCGGCATGCGAGCGCGACGACGCGCGCGTCACGTCGTCCCGTCAATTACAAGGGATCCTTGCGACAGCACGCGCGCAATGGCGTTCGAACGATTTCGACACGCGCGCGCGAGAGGCCAGTTTGGGTAGCAAATTATGAACACGCAGAAAAATGATGATTGTGTGACGATATATGTATATATACGCACACACCTTTTCCTATATTTTTACAAGCCCGGGCGGGGGGGAAACCCGTCCCCCTCCCCCCCAAAAAAACACGGACTCCCGGGATCTGGGGCTTTGGGACCCTCCGGACGGGCCTCGAAGCGGCCCCCTGGGCCTCGCAGGGCGCTTTGCCAAGCCTTCCCAGCACACCTAGGGCGATCAGGGGGGTCATCGGAGACGTCCCAGAGACACCCAAGACAGCAAAAGAGCGCTCCAAAAGTGACCGGCGTCGGCCCCAAAGAGGCCTCCAAGAGCACTCCGAACAAGGCCCCAAGAGGCAAAAATCATTGATTTCCGCTTGATTTTCCGTAAATTTGGGGGTTCTCCTCTTTTCGGCTTCCCGACGCTCCAAGACGGCGGTCTTCTCGTCGTCCGAAGCCGCCTGGGGCGCTCCAAAATCGCCCCGCAACCATCCGAAAAAGCTTCCAGGCAGTCCAAGAGAGCCCCCAAACGGCACAACACGGGTCCAAGATGGCCCTCAGAGGGCTCCATGGCGGCCCAATATGGCCCCAAGACACCCTCCGAAGCATTCCAGAACGTGACCTGGTCGTTCAGGGTCGCGTTTGGAGGCAAGGTGGCCCGAGGAAGCCCCCAGAGGCCCCCAGAATACGCCCAGGAAACGTCCCGAAGGCCTTAAGAAGCCTGGAACAACTATTGTGAAGCCCGCGGAGGCTCTCCAAGGAGGAGCTTCCGCAACAATGCGCGGGGATTGGCGAACATGTTGAGAAAAAAGCAAGGAGGAAGGATAGCGAATAACATTACAGTAGCAACAATGCCGGAAAAAATGAAACAAAGAGTTATCGCTAAATGTTCGGTTTGGCCCTCCTGCTATTCCGCCTCCATACCACACTTCAAGAACCAATGTGCATGGCGCGAAGCGCAACTGCAGTCCTGTGTGTATAAATATACACATACATATATACATACATACATACATACATACAAACATACATACATACCTACATACCTACATACATACATACATACATACATACATACATACATATATACATCGGAAGTTCGGCGGCAAGATCGGAATGGAACGGAAAGACCCCCTGACAGGAAATCGATTTCGGTGTCGTGTTTGCGCGTGCCGTGCGCGCGGGCGAGGCGAAGCTGCGTGGGCGGCAAGAGAAAGCCTCCTGTGGCTGAAGCGCGGCCAGACCAAGCGATTGCCGCCCGGTCGTCTGGGGGCCCGCGGCGCCCCGCCCAGCGTCCCGCTGGGGTCCCGTGTGGCTGAGGCGCGGCCGGACCAAATGATTGCCGTCCAGGCGTCTGGGGGCCCGCGGTGCCCCGCCGGCGTCCCGCCCGTGTCCCGTCGGTGCCCCGTCAATGTGTCCCGATGGTGATGATGATGACGATGTTGATGATGATGGTGATGATGATGGTGATGACGATGATGAAGATGTAGATGATGATGATGATGATGATGATGGTGATGATGACGGTGATGGTGATTGCGGTGATGATGATGTTGTTGATGATGATGTTGATGTAACTGTTGATGCTGATGGTGGTGGCGACCCGTGTTGATGTTGTTGATGATGAAATGCTGGTGATCGATCGGGAGAGATCGATTGTGAAATCGATGGGTGGGTCCATTGTGAGATCGATTGAGTGAGACGTTGGGTTCCGCCCCCCCGTCAACTTGCTTACCATTCAGGAATTTCGGCTCAACGCTTCTGTTGCACTCGGCACGCGGGGGGCCGGAAACGCGCCCACTTCGGTCAAGCACCTCCTTCGGTCTCGCTGCGAGGGGCCAGGCTTTGCCAGCCGAGATGCTCGACAAGAATGCGGAGACGCTGACGAACATGAACACCCGGACGGCCACGTACGCCAAGTGGAGCGCGAGGGCCCTGGACCCGAAGGTCATTGATTTTACGTTCACTGCGAGGAACGAAAAACTGCAGGCGCAGAAGTTCAGTTGCGTTCTGGTGCCCAATGCGCCCGCGCAGCACATGCTTGGCGCGGCGCCAGCGCCCGCCGAGCCACGACCACGACAAGCACTGCCGCGTGAAGGCCCCTTGGTCGTCGATGTCAGTGAGCGGGCCGGCCGGGCTGCGGAATCCTCTCCATCAGTTCTTGAGTTCAGCTCGATTTTGAGATCGATGGTGAGATTGATCGAGCGAGACCGATTGAGTGAGATCGATAGTGAGATCGATAGTGAGATCGATAGTGCAGAGGGGGCACGGGCTGCGCCAGCCTTTGCCAGCGCTCCAATATTCTGTGACCACATGCCGCTGGCTGCCGCTGGGCAGGTCGGGCAGGTCCCCACGGGGGGGGGGGGGGGGGGGCGAATGGCGCCAAGGCGCCAAAGAACGAAGGGCGACGCAAACAACTCGACACCGACCCTCCCAAGAGCGAGCGGCAACGCAACGCTCTCCACTGGCATCGTCACAACAACAATCACAACTGTTGCCCATTGCTGCCCCCCCCCCCCCCCCCCCTCATCATCACCCGCAGGGTGGTCGCATGGGCATGCGCGCGCGTGCACTCGCTGCGGGGGCATATTTTTGCGTTCGGAACGCTCGATTTTAAAACCCGACGCATTTGACACATTGTCCGGCACGCGCGCGAGGCGACGCGCGCGCGTGCACTTCGCCCCGTTGCTTCGCGTCGCTAAGGAGTCCTAAACACCTCAGACGTTGAAGGAGGGAGTGCGCACGCACACTATCGCTTGCAAAGGATGAGGGGGGGGGGGGGGCAATATCTGCCTGCCTGGGGCGGTGCGAACTCATATGTCGGATAGACGATGGGGAGCAGAACCGCGCGCAAAGTGCAAGACGGAGAAGAGGGTTCGCCACTTCCGGGGGGGGGGGGGGGCGGGGGGGGGCGGCCGCGCTAGCCCGCGCGCGCCAGCGCGCGCAGCGGCCAACTAGTTCGGCGCGACCAGCGCGGCTGCGGCGGCGCCGACGGCCGGGCGCTTCCCAGCGGGCACTCCAGTGCGAGTCGGCTACTTGGGAGGGCGCGGTGTCATGGCAACATCGACAACGGTAGACGCGAGGATGGTCGCGGCGACCCTGGCGACGACGATGTCAGCGACGACGGCAAGGATAGTAAATTCGAGGATGCCGATCGCGCCGACGACGATGACGGCGCCCTAGCGTCGGTGATGAAAGCTTTGGAAGGAGTTCGACATGCGCGCGCGGCCGGCGCGAGAAAATGGCCCTCTTGCAGCGGGCGACGCGGGCGGCGCCCTCCCCCCCCAGCACGCGCGCGCGGGCGCCGGAGTGTTCCGGCGCTCGGCGCGGGAGGCCCAGTTGGCAGACTGCAATAAACACGTTGAAAAACTTACGATTGTCCTAGAATTGCACAACGGCGCGAGCGCATTGTTTTAAGAAACTGGCGCTGCAAAGCTACGCGAGTTTGAAATGTATGTTCGGGCCGCTTGATTCTGAAACCCGAACGAAACGCAAGGTCGTTGAAGAATTTCGGCGCGCGAGAGACGACGCGCGTTTCGCCCATTTTTTCTGCCCCTGCGATTCTTGCAGCAGCGCGCGCGAAGGGGCGCTCGAACGATTGCGACGCGCGCGCGCAAAGCCCCTCCGGCATAATTCTGCGCAAACGCGGGAAGCCGACGGCCCGGCGAAGAAGTCGCAGGAGCGCGAGCGCAAGCTTTTTGTTCGACATTCTCGTCGCGAAGCCATACGCACGATCCGTTGTCGGGGCGCTCGCTTTTGAATTACCTGCGAAGCCCGAGAAGATTTTGAAGGATGTTTGCACGCGCGCGCGACGACGACGCGCGCGTTGCAACGCGGACACGGGGGTCGCTGCGCTGCGATTCCGAAGGGGGGGGGGGGGGGGGGGGGGGGGCCATATTACTCTTTCAGGAAAGAAGATCTACTCAGTGCATCCTCTGTTGCGCACTAGATGCGGTGCGATCTGCGCGGTGCAATCAATGCGATGAAGTCTACGTGGCGCGATCTGCGCGGTGCACTCTACGCGGTGCAATCGGCTTTGACAAACGAGTTGGCAAATCCCACGCCCTTGCAAGCATCCCACCCGCCCGCCTGCAACGTGGTTGGACCACCCACGGACGGCGATTGCGATGAGTGTTTGGCGATGGCTGGCGCGCCTATGCGGCCGCGCTAGCCCGCGCATGCTCGCGCGCGCGGCGGATAACGTGGAGCGATTGGCGCGGCCGGCCGCGGTGGCGCTGGCCACCAGGCGCGTCGGTGACTCGGGCGGGCGCGGTATCATGGCGACGCCGACAACGGCAGGCGCTGTTGAGAGTAGCGATTATGGCGACGATGGCGGCGATGGCAACGGCAAGGCCAACGACGGCGCCGACGTTGATCGCGCCCCCCGGTGACGACGACGGCGACGATGGACCCCCGAAGGGGTTTGACGCGCGCGCGCGCGCGGCCGATGCGCGCAAGTGGCCTGCGCGGCATAATTCGACGCAGATCGCGCCCCCCCCCCCCCCCCCCCCAACCACAGCACGCGCGCCAGGGCGCTCGAATGAGTTCGACATGCGGCGCGAAAGGCTCGTTTGGCAGAATGTGATGGTTTTCTTGGGAAGTCACCAGATCGTGAGCGCTGGAATTTCTTAGAAAGTTGATGTTGCCAAGTCATGCGTTCTCAGCGTGTTCGGGGCACTCGAGTTTGAAATCCATGCGACATAGATTGTCTTTGAACGATTGCGGCATGCGTGCGCGAATCCGCGCGCGCTTGCACTTCGCCTTTTTTTTTGATAGGGGCTCTTGCGACAGCGCGCACGCAAGGGCGTTCGAACGATGTCGACGCGCGCGCGAGATGCCAATTTGGAAGCACGTTATGAAAAAAAAAAGAGACTGGCAAACCAACGGTTTCTGGAGAATTCGCAAAAGCACGAGCGCCAACTTTTTACACAAAAGGATTACACGTCAGTCGGAAGAAGTAGGCAGAAACATGAAGTAGGAAGGCGGATGTAGGTTGGATTGGGTCCAGGTCCTCCCAGATAATCACAAGGCACAGCAAAAGCATGTCGGTTCTTGAAGTAGGAAGGCGCTTGAAGTAGATTGTACGTACGTTCAACGACCGGCGTGTATGTGTGTCGTGTAGCTGGTAGTGTAGATGTGCTGCGTAGATCGGAACCTGTTGTGCTGGATGGGCGTATCCAATGTGACCGATATGTTCTCAGGATGGTCCTTTGCCGTTGTTGAATGTTGCGTATGTTGGCGTTTGTTTCCCATTGCCTTTGCCTGTGGCCTGAGGATATTGTATGTGACTGTTCATTGTGTCGGTTGACCGTCGTGGTGTTTGCTGTGCGATGTGATGTTGGTTGAGTGGAAGCCGTGCTGCTTGGAGTTGCTGGGGTGTTGGTTGGTCGCGTAGGGTTCGCGCTGGTGCTACCCGTAGTCGTGCGCATGTCGCTGCGCGTTTTTTTTTCTCCCTGCGGTGCCAGGCAGGGCTGAGAGAAGTCGACGGAGTCGCGGCGTTGTTGCTTACAACATGCTGCAAAAGGCCTGGCCGAGACGGCCACGTAAATGGTGTTAGCTGTGCGGGCTTACGAGGTAGATGTCGTAGCTTTGGTGGCGTGTACTGCAATACGTGTTGGCACAGTGGCCACCTAGGGCCGGCATGCTGCTGCGGGCGGTTGGGCCCGAGGTGTCCTCCTCCTCCTCCTCCTCCTCCTCCTCCACCTGCTCCTCCTCCTCCTGCTCTATTCCTCTTCCTTATGCATAAACCCTCCCTCTCGCATCCCGAAGCCAGGACGCAAGGGCGGGCCGGGCGTTTCGCCTAAGAGTTTCTCACAATCTATGTTCCTGACATTCGGTAACTGCAGCAATTTCTCGGATGGAAGGCGTGCTGCTGTCAAACAGCGGTTGTCACCTTCGCACCGTGCACATCCGCATTAATCATTGCAAGAGTTCCGCGGTTTGAAAACAAGTCATTTTCAAAATGAGGTCCTCGCCTCAACGCCGCGAACATCCGTGTTCAACTTTGAAAGAATTTCACGGATTGAAAACAGGTCGTTCTCAACATGAGGCTTTCGCCCCAGCACCGCAGACCTCCGTCTGAAAACTTCGCAGGAATGTCACGAAGATTAAGGACAGGTCGTTTTGAACATTTGGTTTTCGCCTTAGCGCCGCGCGCATCCGGGTTAAACGTTGCAAGAGTTTCACGCGTTGAGTGCGGGTGGTGTTCAACATGTGGTGGCTCCCGCCTTAGCGCCGCGCGCACTCGTGTTGAAAATGTGCAACAGGTTCACGAATTGAGGCCGGCCCATTTTCAAAATGAGGCTCTCGCCTTAGCGTCGCGCCCATTCGTTTGAAGCGTCTGCAACCTTGTCAAGGATCATCATGTTGAACCTCGCATAAATGTTGTTCTGACAAGGTATCGAGCCGCCAGAGCGCAACTGTTGCATTGATTCGCGATGTTCAAAATCTCAGGAACGGCGTTTTGACACGATTCCGGATCGCCAGTGCGCAACAGAGAGGGTGGCTCGCAGCGTCGAAGTCCCAGTAATGTTGTTCTGGCACAAATGTTCAACCGAATGTCTTCCAACGGAGCGCCAACCGAACCTTTGTAAGGGGCCCCTGAGGGCAGATTGCAGTATCGTTCATGAACCTTGGGCTTACACTGGTTTATCCTCCTTTTCCTCCTCCGCCTCCGACGACGACGACGACGGCGGCGGCGGCAACGACGGAGACAACGACGACGACGGCGGCAGCAGCAGTGGGGGCGACACGGACCGCCGCATCCCCGGCCGCAAAACGCGGATCCTCCGTCTTCGGGCGCATGCCGAGCTCCGCGAGGCACTCCATGAGCTCGCTGTGGTCCTGCGCCGCCCGGCGGGGGGCCGAAGTTGCACGCAAGCAAACAAGCAATCAAGCACGCAAGCAAACTGGGCGTCTCGACGGCGTTTCGGCAGTAACGAACACAGGTCGGGGGCGTCTAAGAGGGGGGCGTCCAAGAGGGGGGGGCGCAAATCATAGCCGGCGGCATGTGCGCGGCCCCTGGGGGGGCCGAGGCACGTAATGAAATAAGAAGGGGCCCCATGCGATCTGGGGAAATTTCATGGCCCACGCCATGATATCCCCCCCCCTAGTCATCACCCCCCTCTTCTCCGCCCCCGAACAGGCACGCTGCTAGAACTCCCGCGGGAACGGGTCTCGTCCAAGACTCGGAGGGGGGCGGGGGGAGGAGGGGCCGAGGCCGAGAGGGGCCGGCACCGGGGCGGACGACAGGGGGGATAGCAGAGGAGTGAGGTGATTATCGGGGGCGACGACAAGGGCGAGTGGCCCAGGGGGGGGGACGATAAATGCATGGGAAAAGGCATTTCGTGAGCGCTTGCCTCGAATGAGTATCTGGACACGTAGAAACAGGGGGGGGCGCCCAAAAACTTGGTGCGAACCGGGGGGGGGGGGGGGCATCGGCCTCTCCAACCGGGGAGGCCCCCCCCCCTGGTGCAGGGGGGGGGGGCTTCGAACCAGCCCCCCCAACCCTGTCGGCGCCCCTGGGAGGCGTCGCGCGGCAGGTGCCAGGCTGGAGCAAAGAGAAATCGGAGGCGGTCGGGCCGGGTCGGTTGGCGGAAGGGAAGTCAGAGTTTGGGTTCACGGGGCTGGGTCTCCTGGCGCCTGCCGGCGCCGAAGGCGCCCATGCATCGCGGCATGCGCTCGGCGGCGATGCCGCGCAAGACGGCCGACGGGCCCGCGCCGCGGGCGAGCGCGGCGCCGCGAGCGCCGAGGCGCGCCGTGACCTGCCCCCGCGCGCGACGCCCGCGGCGCGCCGGCGCGCGCCTCCGCGGCCGGGCGGCCCCTCCCCCGGCCGAGGCGGCAGGGCACTCCGGGGAGGAGGCGGCCCGGCGGGGGCACCGTGGGCGCACGCCACCGCCGCCGCGGCCGCCGTGCCCGCCGCGCCCCTGCTACTGCCGCCGCCGCCGCCGCTGCGGCCACTGCCGCTGCTGCCGCGGCGGCCCCCTGGCGCTGATGTGGAGCGCCGGCGAGGACGACGGCGACGCCGACGAGGACGAGGGCGAGGACGACGATGCCCAATCCCCCCGCTCCGTCCGACCCGAGTGCCGGGCCGGAAAACATGCGGAGAGAGCGGGAGGCGGGACGCGGAGGGGCGGGGGGGAAGGGGCGAGGGGGCGGGGGGGTGGAGGAGGTGGGTAGGAGGGGAAGGAGCGGATGCGGAGGAGGAAGGAGGCAGGAGGAGGCAGGAGAGGGGGAAGAGGGAGGAGGAGAAGGAGAGAGAAAGATGGAGGAAGCAGCGAAGAGGGAGGAAGGGATGGAAGGAGGAGGGAGAGGAGAGAGGATGAAGGAGAGAGTGCAGAGAACCAAATATGAATGGGATAAGCGAGGAGGATGCGGAGGAGGAGGAGGAGGAGGAGGAGGAGGAGAGGCAGGAGGAAGAAGAAGAGCGGAAGGTATTACCCCTCCTCTTGCATACATGAGGAGGCGGTCTAATATGGTCATCTTGTCCTCATCATTCGCCCCCAGTGTCCCTCTCTCTCAGGCGGCATCCTCCCACTCGATCCTCCAAAACCTCATCTCCCCATCATCCCTCCCTCCCTGCCTCCCTCCCTCTTCCTGGCTACTCGTTCCTGCTGTCATGAGGGTCCTGCGGGTGTTGCCCTCATCCCTCCTACTCCTCCTCCTCCTCCTCTTCCTCCTCCTCCTCCTTATCCTGCTCATCCTTCCTCCTCCTCCTCCTCCTCCTCATCCTCCTCCTCCTCCTCTTCCTCTTCCTCTTCCTCTTCCTCCTCCTGCTGCTCCTGCTGCTCCTCCTCCTCCTCCTCCTCCTCCTCCTCCTCCTCTCCCCTCCTCTTCCCCTCCTCCCACCATCAACATCATCATCAGCATCATCAAAATCATCATCAGTTGCACCAGCATCGTCACGACAACCATCATCAGCAGCAGCAACAGCAACAGCAACAGCATCATCACCACCACAACAACCGTCATCAGCATCGTCATCATAATCATCACCATCATCATGATCACTGGCAACAGCAGCAACAGCATCATCATCACCACCATCATCACTATCACCACAACAATCATCATCACCACTATCATATGTTGCTCATCACAATCATCATCGACATCGTCAGAATCATCATGATCATCATCACCATCAGCAGCAGCAGAAGAAATCGAATAATCATCATGATCATCATCATAATCATCATTACAACAATCACCATCAGCATCACCAGCATCATCACCACCAACATCATAATGGTAATCATCATCATCGTCGTCGTCACCGCCACCATCATCATAATCACCACATGCAACAGCATCATCATCATCACCATCGTCATCACCATCATCACCACCACCATAATCATCACCATCGGCATCATCATGGTCATCAACATCATCAACATCATCATCACCACCACCATCATCAGCATCAACAGCATCATCACCACCACCACCATCATCATCACCCTCATTATCACCACCATCATCATCGCCATCTTCACCATCCTCGTCATCATCATCACCACCACCATCATCAGCAACAATAACAACATCACCAACATCATCATCATCATCATCATCATCATCATCATCATCATCGCAACAGCCGCCACAGTCATCATCATAAGCACCATCACTATCATCGCCATCATCGTCTCATCATCATCATCAGCATTCCCATCACCACCAGCATCATCACCATGATTACCACCACCATCATCATCATCAGCAGCAACATCACCACCACCACCATCATCATCATCCGCAGCAGCAGCAACGACCTCATCATCACAATCAGAATCACTATCATCACCATCAGGATCATCATCACTACCAACACCAACACATCCACCATAGTCTTCAGCATCATCATACCATTATCATTACCGTCGTCATCACCAGCTTCATCATCATCCTTACGATCACCATCATCACCATCATCGTCATCATCGTCATCATCACCATCAACAAACACATCATCAGCAACAACATCATCATCACCAGCACCGTCATCATCACCATCATCATCACCAGCATCATCACAACCACCAACAGCATCAGTATCGTCATCATCGTCATCGTCAGATTAATCAACATCATCATGACAATCAGCATCATCATCATCATCAGCATTACCATCACCACCATCAATCATCATCACCATCAACAGCATCATGAGCAGCAGAAACAGCATCATCATCACTGCAACCACCACAATCATCATCATCAGCAGCAGCAACAGCATCATCATCACCATCACCACCATCATCATCATCATCCTCATCATTACCATCATCAACACGACCACCATGACCAACAGCATCGTCATCAAGATCATCAGCATCATCATCACCAACATCATCATCATCATCATCATCATCATCATCATCATCATCATCATCATCATTACCATCACTATCATCACCATCATCATCATCATCATCATCATCACCACCAACACCATCACCATCATCAGCAGCAGCAACAACATCATCACCCTTCATCATCACCAGAACCATCATCAATGTCATCAGCAGCAGCAGCATCAGCATCACCAGCATCACCAGTATCACCATCAGCATCTTTACTTTTATTGACATCCTTACCATCACCACCCACATCACCATTTATCATCATCACCACCACCATCATCAGCAGCAGCATCAACCATCATCGTCCTCATCACAATTATCATCACTGTCATCATTACCATCACCAGCATCACCATCATCACCAACATCATCACTATCACCATCACCATCACCATCATCATAATCATCATCACCATCATCACCATCATCATCATCACCATCACCATCACCATCACCATCACCATCACCATCACCACCACCACCACCACCACCATCGTCATCATCATCATCATCATCATCATCATCATCATCATCATCATCATCATCATCATCATCATCATCATCATCATCATCATCATCATCATCATCATCATCATCTCCCATGCCCCCGCGCTCCATCTCATCTTGGCAGGCCACGGCCCCGAGCACGGCCGGCGCGCGGGGCAGCCTGGGCCCGGCTCTGGCGGAGGCTGGCGCGCGGGGGGGGAGGGGGGCCAGGCGGTCCAGGGAGCCGCTGCCGTCGGCGTCGTGCCTGGCGAATGCCTGGCGAGCGCGGCGGCCTTCTGCCTCCTGCCTCCTGCCTCCTTCTCCGCCTCCTTCTCCGCCTCCTCCTCCTCCTCCTCCTCCTCCAGCCTCCTCCTCCTCCTTCCTCATCCTCCTCCTCCTCCTCCAGCCTCCTCATCATCGTTACCGTCGCGGAGGAAAGGACAAAATGGCCAAAAACAAAAACTGTCTCCCCTTTCCGCTGGAGGCACTATTCGACCCCGTGGGCCCTTGCCATCGCTCGGACGCCCATTCCCCTTGCATCTGCTTCGGCTTCGTGCGCTGTTCTTTCGCAAGATGCTCCAGGATGCTCCTCGAGAATTCTCGCTGACAACCATGAAGTGGCCCCAGGACACACAAATAAATACACACAAATAAAGATATTCCCCACATTTTCCCATATATTTGGGGTGTTCGTCTTCCCCCCCACTTCCCATAGTTCCCCACACGTTCTGGGGCATCAGCGATTATAATTGTGCCTGTGCTGTTTCCCCTCCTGAAATCATCGCACGCGTCCGAGAGATGCCAAGGTCCTGGCGGTGGATCCCCACGAGGCCCCTGAGCCAAGAGGGCGCCGGCGGGCCCCTCAGGCAGGCGCCGGAGGCGGCGGCAGGGCGAGCTCTCCTGCGCGACGGCCGTCTGGTCCTGCGGGTCTCCGCGCGGCGGGTAGCGTGGGGGCGGGGGCCAGCAGCTTCCTCCTCCTCCTCCTCCTCCTCCACCTCCTCCTCCTCCTCCTCTTCCCCCTCCTCTCCCCTCCATCATCCCTCCCCCTCCTCCTCCTCCTCCTCCTCCACCTCCTGCGCCTCCTCCTCCCTCATTCTCTTCCCCCTTGCCCTTCTCATTCATCCCTCCTCTTCCTCCACCTCCCCCTCCTTCCTCCCCTCTCCTCCCTCCTGCTCCTCCACCTCCCCCTCCTTCCTCCTCCCTCCTCCCTCCTCCTCCTCCACCTCCTCCTCCTTCTCCCTCCGTCCTCCTCCGCCTGCTCCCTCCTCCTGCTCCCTCCTCCTGCTCCCCCCATCGTCCTCCTCATCATCTTCCTTCCCCTTGCCTTATGAAGCAAATCTTCCGTGTCGCACCCCGAGACGTATCGGTAGGGCGGGCTGGGCGTTTTGCCTGAGGCTTCCCCAGCACGTGTGACCAATACGCTTGCAAGTGTTTCTCGGATGGAGGGCAGCTCCTCTTCAAAATGTGTCTCTCGCCATAGCGCCGCTTATATTCGCCTTCAAAGATTGCAAGAGCTTTGCGGATGGAGGGCGGGCCGTTTCAAACTACCGCTCTCACCTTAGCGCCGCGCACATTAGAATTCATCTGAAAAGCGTGAAAAAATTGACGTACGACTACTACTACAACTACGACTACGACTACGACTACGACTACGACTACGACTACGACTACTACGATCACTACTACCACTATCACTACTACTACTACTACTACTACTACTACTACTACTACTACTACTACTACTACTACTACTACTACGACTACTACTACTACCACTACTACTCCTACTTCTCCTACTACCCCTACTACTACTACTACTACTACTACTACTGCTGCTACTGCTACTGCTACTGCTACTGCTACTGCTACTGCTACTGCTACTACTACTACTACTACTACTACGACTACGATCTACTACTACTACTACTACGTACCACTACTACTACTACTACTATCTACTACTGCTGCTTGGCTGCTGCTAGCTCTGCTACGCTACTCACACATGCTACTACACTATAACTACTTACGACTACTACGGACTACTACTAAATACTACTACTACGACTACGACGACTGACTAGTACTACTACTACTACTACCTACTACTACTACTACAACTCTACTACTACTACGACTACTAACTACTACTACTACTAAACGACTACTACTACCTACTATACTACTAACACTAACCTACTACGGCTCCTACTACTACTACTACTAACTACTACTACTACACTACTCCGACTACTAACTACTACTACTACTACTACTACGACTACTACTACTACTGCTACGACTACGACTACTACTACTACTACTACTACTACTACTACTACTACTACTACGACTACTACTACTACTACTACTACTTACACTACTACTACTACTACTACTACTACTACTACTACTACTACTACTACTACTACTACTACTACTACTACTACTACTACTACTACTACTACGACACTACTACGGCTACGACTACTACTACGACTACGACTACGACTACGACTACGACTACGACTACGACTACGACTACGACTACTACTACTACTACTACTACTACTACTACTACTACTACTACTACTACTACTACTACTACTACCTACGACTATACCTCTTTTAAGACGACCTTCCTCTATTACTACTACTACTACTAATACTACTACTAACTAACTACGACACGACTTACTACTACTACTACGACTACTACTACTACTACTACACTACGACTACTACTACGACCTCTTTGAATACGACATCCTCTATTTACTCCTACTACTACTACTATACTACTACTACTACTACGACTACACTACTACACGACGTAACTAACTACTACTACTATACTACTACTACTACTAACTACCACTACTACTACTTAACCACTTACCACTCACTACTCCGACGTCTCCTACGACCTCTACTACTACTAATACTTCTACTACTGCTACTACTACTACTGCTACTGCTACTGCTACTGCTATTGCTACTGCTACTGCTACTGCTACTGCTACTGCTACTGCTACTGCTACTGCTACTGCTACTGCTACTGCTACTGATACTGCTACTGCTACTGCTACTGCTACTACTACTACTACTACTACTACTACTACTACTACTACGACTACTACTACGACTACTACTACTACTACTCCTACTACTACTACTACTACTACTACTACTACGACTACTACTACTACTACTACTACTACTACTACTACTACTACTACTACTACTACGACTACTATGAAAGGGGCCCTGAGACGCACAACTCAATACACACAAAAAAACATGATTCCCGAAATGTTCCCATATTTTCTGGGTGTTTGCCTTCCCCCCCATTTCCCAATGTTCCCATATTATCCTGGGGATCGACGATTAATTGTGTCTGTGTGTTTTCCCTCCTGCTACTACTACTACTACTACTACTACTACTACTACTACTACTACTATGACTACTACTACTACTACTACTACTACTACTACTACTACTACTACTACGACTAAGCTGCAAACCAGTCAAGGAAAACTGGGCCCGTCCCCAACGACAAGGGGTTCTTCTTCAGCGGCCCGACAATACAATAGGAGCTCGTCCACAAGAACCCTTGAATAAGAAACCCAACCCTGAGACCCCAGGAGGTCCATGGATTCTTTGGCGCGGGAACGTCGCACTCTCCAACGCAGAACCGTCGAACACACAAGAAACTCAGGGCACCGTGGAGGCAAACAGGGTGTTTCCTGGCATGGGGGCCTCCACTGTAACCTAGTAAAAGATGAACCAGATAAATCAAACGAACAACGAACGCTCTGGAATGAGTGGTAATGCTCGTTGGCATGATTGAATCGGCCCTCTGCCCGACAGTCAAGGCATTGCCATGGGGAAGCTCTGATTGGGGAGCTGGGCTTCAGCTGCGCCCCGATGCGCGAACAGCACCACAGGAACACCCACAAAAAGGACATCGCGCCCCGGTCGAAGTCTGGAAAACGCACCCTGCCCCGAAGCGACGGCTGCACCACGGAACTGCTCCCTGACCTGGCCGCCCGTGTTCGCTGCCGTCACCCTCTCTCCCCTCCAGGCGGATTTGGGAGGATATATTGAAAGCTCAAACAAATACTATGTCTTCTACTATTTTAGAATATCCTCCCTATACTCTGTGTTCTGCTCTACACTCACTTGAAATACGATTGTTATACTAAGTTGTTTTACTATTGTACACTTTACTCTTTATTATTTGTTTTACTAGTTCTACCATGTTTAAACTATGTTTGTACTATGTGTTGTTAAATGTTAGAACTCCTATGTTTTTAACTCAGCACTCAAGTGAAACACTATGTGTTTACTATGTTCGAATATCCTCCCTATAAAGGGACGCGCCCGTATTGACACCAGTGGGCCGCGACGGGGGAGCTCCGCGGCCGCGTTGGCCAAGGATGCCCTGCTCGGCCCCCTGTGCACCTGCCACGGGCCAGGCACCGAGGAGGAGGCCGACAGGGTAGGCAGGGAAGGAGGTCGAGCGGACGAGGGGCGGGAGGAGGGGCGAAAGGGACGGGGGGAGGGGAGGTGGATGGGGGGGAGGTAGCAATTCGGTGGCAGAAGCTGGAGGAGACGACGGAGGGCAGAACCTCCCGTCCACCATCATTTGGTATGCGTGCGTGTCCTACCCCTGCTTCTATAGCCAATCATCAAAACCAAACACCATCATCACGATCATGGTCATCATGATGATCATCATGATCATGATCATCATGAGTATGATCATGATCATGACCATGATCGTCGTCATCATCGCCATCCTCACAAAATAAACCATCACCACCATCACCATCACCATCATCATCACCACCACCATATCTATCATCAGAATCACCACCATCATCATCATCATCATCATCATCATCATCATCATCATCATCATCAGCATCATCATCATCATCATCATCATCATCATCATCATAGTCGTAATCATCCTCATCATCCTCATCATCCATCTCCTCCTCATCCTCATCATCATCCTCATCATCAGCATCATCATCATCATCATCATTGCCGTCGTCATCAGCATCAACATCATCACCATCACCACCAGCACCATCACCAATTACATCATCATCATCATCATCCTCATCATCATCATCATCATCATCATCATCATCATCATCATCATCATCATCGCCATCATCATCATCATCATCATCATCATCATCATCATCATCATCATCATCATCATCATCAGCATCATCAGCATCATCATCATCATCATCATCATCATTAGCATCATCATAATCGACATCATCATCAGCATCATCATCAGCATCAGCATCAGCATCATCATCATCATCATCGTCACCACCGACACCACCACCTCCATCATCATCATCATCATCATCATCATCATCATCATCATCATCAGCATCATCATCATCGTCATCATCATCAGCATCGTCCTCATCATCATTGTCATACTCAACTCTTTACTCTATATCACCATACCCATCACCGCAACCATCATCACCGAAACCATCATCACCATCATCACCATCAGCACAATCACCATCACCATCACCATCACCATCACATTCATCACCATCATCACCAACATCATCAGCATCACCATCATCGTCACCATCGTCACCACCACTATCATCAGCATCATACTCATCATCGTCCTCCTCGTCCTCATCCTCATCCTAATCCTCATCGTCATCAACTCCATCCTGAAAATCAGCATCATCACCATGAACACCATAACCATCACAATCACCGTCACCACCATCATCATCATCACCACCATCATCATCATCATCACCATCATCATCATCATCATCATCATCATCATCATCATCATCATCATCATCATCATCATCATCATCATCACTATCACCATCATCATCATCATCATCATCAGCAGCAGCAGCAGCATCCTCGTCACAACCACCATCATCATCATCACCAAATCAATCATCATAATCATCAACAACTATTCCATTATCATTATCATCACAATCCTCTTCCTCGTCCCATCATCACCGTCATCCGCCACCGTGCCTTCACACGGGGGGATGGCTCCGATCATCTGCTTAGCTTGGTGCGACTGTCTGGAACCGTGCGTCTTATGGGGGAGACTCCCCCTGCTCGAAACAGGCGCCACAGCCGAGGGGGGGGGGGGACGGGGGGCGGGGGGTGCGCGCGGGCCCGCGCCGATCGGCAAAACGGGGAGAAATGGAGAGGACCACCCGGTCCTCCTCCTCCTCCCCGATCCTCGATGCCCGAGCGCCGATCCTCGACGCCTCGCTCCCGCCGCGGGGCGCGCCTGGGAGTGGCGCCGGATCGCGGAGGGCCTGGCGCCCGCCGTGCCCCGCGGGCGGCGGGGGAGGGGGGGCGGCGACGGGCTCGGCCCTCTGGCGGCGCGCACGAGGGGGCGGCGTCTCAGAAGGGAGGAGGAGGAGGAGGAGGAGGAGGAGGAGGAGGAGGAGGAGGAGGAGGGGGAGGAGGAGGAGGAGGAGGAGGAGGGACAAGGGGGGAAGGGCTTCTTGGAAGGGAGCGGCTTCTCAGAAGGCGCCGGCCCTGCGTCTGCAGAGAAGGCCCCCGCGCCTGCTCAGAAGCGGGGGTGCTTCTGAGAAGGCTTCCCCCCTCCCCCTGCCCCCCTCTGCGCGTGGCCGAGCACTGCGGCAGGCTTCAGGGGGAGGCGGAGTCTCGCCAGCGCTCGCACAGCCATCCTCAGGTCGGGCGTGTCCCCCTGCAGGCGGATGTTGGGCGAAAAAATGAAAAGAAACAAAAGTGAAACAATTCCCCTAATACTGTCCGAAGTGATCCAACCAATGGTCCCCAGATCACTGTCTTACTATGTTTGAAGATTCGTCCTGTAGAGGGACATGCCCGACGTGAGTCCGTCCCTCGTGCATCTGCCGATTTCCCGCGCTGGTTTTTCGCAAGGTGACCCAAGGTGCTCCTCGACGGTGGCGCCCGCCGTCCCTCGGGCGGCGGGGTGGGACGGAAGGCGAGGGAAGGGAGGGCTGGTCGGGCTCGGCGTTGCAGCAGTCTTCGGGGGAGGCGCAAGGTGCGAGACGGGGATTTATCCCGGCTGCACGCATGAGTGACCCTGGGTAAGAGTGGCCTCTGGTGCGCGGCGTCTTGGGGGCCGCGCGGTGACCAAACCCAGGCGCGCAAGGCGCTACTATCGTACCGCGTTCGACGGTCGGGGGGCCAGATGTCATTCCGGCGAAGGTTCACTCCTACGTCTAGTCCAGTCAGTCATACAGATCCTGCTCCCCCAGCGGGCGGTGGATATGGATATACATTTTGGGCCCAGGGGGCCCGAATGTATCCATATCCGCCGCCAATGGAGGCTCGCGAAGATCGATGCCACAGGCGGTGGCTCTGGATAAATTCCCGCCTCGGAAAAGGTTCGGAAAACCAAGGGTAGGGTAGAAAATCAGCTCACGTGCAGTCATCGGCCTGACCTAAGGAACGATGAATTCGGAACGAAGCCCCTTGCTCCCAAGGAATAACGCATGAGGAACGCTAAATTATACAAAACGCATCAGGAACTATAAATAACGCATGCGAACCTAAGGAACGACCGAGCTCCTTTTGAGAAGTCTGGTTTTCCTAGCGCCTCCAGGCACCATGTATCGAAGAATGGGCCCAGCGGCGGGGCCGAAACCAGCTGCATGCAGCAAATGCCGTAACCACCCTTTTCCCTATCGTGCCCTTTCGTCCGGCCCGGAACCCGAACACGGCGGACACACCCCAGGACCCCCTTGTCCCTTTGGACCCCTCCTCCCCATGGCGGCCTTCGCAAAGTCGACCCCATGCAGGACCTCCAGGGGCCCGTCGCGAACGGGACTTCCAGGGGAACTAGAGGGCTTCTAGATGGGGTCCGAGAAGATGGGGTCGAAGAATCTCGCCGCGTCGCCGATACATCGGCGATGTATCGCCGATGCACCGGCCATGCATCGGCCATGCACTGGCGAGGTCGGCGATGCATCGGGGACGTCGGCGTGGAGAAAAAAGGGGCCCACATCGAGCCGCATCGCCGATACATCGCCGATGCATCGCCGATGCATCGCCGATGCATCGCCGATGCGGCGCGATCCTCCGACCCCACCTACTCCGACCCCGTCTAAGATTATATTGTTCCCACCGTACTCGTACTTAGAACCACATCCCAAAAATGATCTCGCGCACCCGGAAAAGCGTCGAACAAGTATCCAGAGACAGTGTCGAAGCAGTGTCGAGCGAGTGTCTCCCAGGGCACGACGCGTGAAAATCTTCGACCCTCGTTTTTATTGTTCTTGTGCTCGAAACTCTTCCTGGTGATCGAAGATATAATAGGTAGGAACATCATGAACCCAAGAAGTTGAGTCGGGCGTGTCCCCCTACAGGGGGATCCTCGACGAAACATCAAACAGACGCAAGAGTACTCCCAAATTGTCAAAAATACTCCAAACGTAGCCCCCAGACTACTTTTTAAACAATTATGTTTGAACATCCCCCCTGTAGAGGGACGGGCCCGATTGAAGTTGGCGGCGCGCACAAGGGGGTAGGGGGAGGGGGGAAGGCGTCTTAGATGCAGGGGTGCTTCTAAGAAGCCTTCCCCCCTCCCCCTTATACCCCCTTCTGCGCGTGGCCAGTTCAGCCTGGAGCCTCCCGGGGGAGCGCAGCCGCGGCGGCAAGGCGCCCCGCGGAGGCCCAGCAGGAGAAAACAAAAAACTGTGAGGCGGCGGGGCCCCGCCGCGCGGGGGGGCGGCCCCCGCGCGGGCCCCGAGGCCAGCACGCTGGCGGCGAGCGAGGGGGGGGGCAACGAGTTCCCCGATCTGACTACAGGGCAGTTTTTGATACATGGGATGTCTAAACATATTGGATTGTTAATACATGGCTAATGTATGATTGAGTGTATGCATGAGCTCGTCGCTGTTTTTAATACTAAATCCCTGCATTTTGAATACATGATCCGCACGCGGAGCATGTATTAAAAACGGCACTGTACAGTCGGCCCGTAGAGTAAGGATGCGCGATAAGGATGCAAGGGCCCTGGACGCCCATCTCGAAGCTCTTCGAGCGGGGCGCACCAGGGCGGAAGCGGCGAAGGATGGACCGAGGAGGCAAGGATGCAAGGGTACCCTCGGGAAGGTTGCCCATCCTTACTCTGCAGGGTGACTGTACCTACCAGACCACCCCAACCCAACCCGGAAACCCCAATTCCGGAATTGCGGGGGGTAAAGGTTCCACGTGTGCTTTTGTCGATGTTGCCCCACCCCCCCCCCACTGGAAATCGAGGGTGAAACTGAGCCTTCGGGTTGGGTTGGGGTGGTTTGGTGGTCGCACTGAAGGGGTCCTATAGCGGAAGTTGACAAAATTGACGAAAATTTCCCGCCGAGTTTGGGTTAGCAGGCTGGGTTCCTGGGCTCCCGGTTCCGGGCTCCCGATGGTTCCCGGTTCTTGGTTCCGGGCCGATTTCGGTGGGTTCTGGGTTCCCGCGCTCCCGGGTTCCTGGTCGATCTCCTCAGCGAGAACCATCCACTGATTGGGGTTTCCTCTGGTGTAAGTACACCAGAGAAAACCCCAACCAGTGGATGGTTCGATCGATAAGGAGATCGACCGGGAGCCTGGGAACCCACCAAAACCGGCCCGGAACCAATAACCGGGAACCCGGGAACCCCGAACCGGGAGCCCGGGAACCCAGCCTGCTAACCCAAACTCGGCGGGAATTTGTTGTTAACTCTTTCAACTTCCGCTAGAGGACCCCTTCAGTGCGAGCACTGAACGTCACCACCCACCAAACCCTGGTTAACCGAACCCTGATTAACCAAGGGCCCGGGAACCAGCAACCCACCGAGCCCCAGCAGCCGGCCACCAAACTCGGCGGGACGCGGTCGCCAAATCTTTCAACTTCCGCTATAGGACGCCTTCAGTGCAAGCACTTCGGGGAAGATACAATCAAAAAACCTGATAAGGACGCGCGGTAAGGACGCAAGACCCTTGGAAGCCGAAGTTGGGATTTTTGGAGCGGCGGACGACGAAAACCTCAAGGACGCAAGAGCAAGGAAGAGCAAGGACGCAAGGGTACCCTGAGCAAAGTCGCGCGTCCATATTAGGGTTTCTGACTGTAAGGCGGAGACCCCTCCGCGGAGGGCGCGGGGAGGGCCTCCGGGCTCTCCCGAGGAGCCCCGCCGCCTTTCTGAGAAGGCCTTTTCCTTCTCGCGTCCCCCCCCCCTCGCTCGCCGCCGCATGGGTTGTGATGTGCCAACTTACCTTAGCCTTGACCACCGGAGAGGCTTTCGAGCACCTGGAACGTAGCGAAACAACTGGAGGGGCTTTCACGCGTCGGGCCCTGGGAGGCGATGCTCGCTCGACACTGCTTCGATACTTTGCCGGGTGCTCGAAATTATCTCCGGGATGTGGTCCTCAAGTACGATGGGAGCAACATAACTCGGGTGGGGCGAAAGGGGGGGATAGCAGAAGGGGGGGGTTGAGAATCAGCTCACGTAGCTGATTTTTCCGGCGCCTCACGGCGCTGGAGGCGGCTATGTATCAAGGAGTGGGCCCCTCGGTGAGGCCAAAACCAGCTGCATGCAGCAAATTTCGTAACCCCCCCTTTCCCAATTCCCCCCCTTTCGTCCAGCCCGAATAACGCATGGGGACGGACGGAGGGGGGGCGGGGGCGAATCGGGTCGGACGGAGCGGGGGCGGACGGACGGGCCATCCCCGCGCGCCTGGCGCGGGGCGGCGGCGCCGTGGCGCCGAGCACGCGGGCCGGAGAGGCCACGCAGCGTGCGGCGTGGCGGGGGGAGAGGGCGGGGGAGGAGCAACATGGGGAGCAGGCATGTCGGGGGCGCGCAAACATGGATTAGCGATCCATGGATTAAGTCGGGCCTGTCCCCTAGAGGGGGATTTTCGACATATCTCTATATATATATACACACACACACTCCAAAATGGTCAAAATTATCCCGGCAAAGCAACCTAACAGCGATGTGTAGGAGCATATCTGGAAGCATTCCCCTGAAGATTCAGATGAGAATCCAGTTGTAGAATTCTGTTGTTCTCGCAGTCGTAGTCGCCTTCGCGATGACAGTCGCAGCGGCAACGGCAGTCGCAGTCACAGCCTCAGCCTCAGCCTGCCTCAGCCTCAGCCTCAGCCTGCCTCAGCCTCAGCCTGCCTCAGCCTCAGCCTCGGCCTGCTTCTGCCTCAGCCTCAGTCTGCCTTCAGCCGGCCTCAGCCTCAGCCTCAGCCTCAGCCTGCATCAGCCTCAGCCTCAGCCTCAGCCTGCCTCAGCATCAGCCTGCAGCCTCAGCCTCAGCCTCAGCCTCAGGCCTCAGTCTGCTTCAGCCTCAG